TTCTGATGTGTAGTTCGAGTGCGATCTTCTGATGTGTAGTTCGAGTGCGATCTTCTGATGTGTAGTTCGAGTGCGATCTTCTGATGTGTAGTTCGAGTGCGATCTTCTGATGTGTAGTTCGAGTGCGATCTTCTGATGTGTAGTTCGAGTGCGATCTTCTGAGTTCGAGTGTAGTTCGAGTAGTTCGAGTGCGATCTTCTGATGTGTAGTTCGAGTGCGATCTTCTGATGTGTAGTTCGAGTGCGATCTTCTGATGTGTAGTTCGAGTGCGATCGAGTGCGATCTTCTGATGTGTAGTTCGAGTGCGATCTTCTGATGTGTAGTTCGAGTGCGATCTTCTGATGTGTAGTTCGAGTGCGATCTTCTGATGTGTAGTTCGAGTGCGATCTTCTGATGTGTAGTTCGAGTGCGATCTTCTGATGTGTAGTTCGAGTGCGATCTTCTGATGTGTAGTTCGAGTGCGATCTTCTGATGTGTAGTTCGAGTGCGATCTTCTGATGTGTAGTTCGAGTGCGATCTTCTGATGTGTAGTTCGAGTGCGATCTTCTGATGTGTAGTTCGAGTGCGATCTTCTGATGTGTAGTTCGAGTGCGATCTTCTGATGTGTAGTTCGAGTGCGATCTTCTGATGTGTAGTTCGAGTGCGATCTTCTGATGTGTAGTTCGAGTGCGATCTTCTGATGTGTAGTTCGAGTGCGATCTTCTGATGTGTAGTTCGAGTGCGATCTTCTGATGTGTAGTTCGAGTGCGATCTTCTGATGTGTAGTTCGAGTGCGATCTTCTGATGTGTAGTTCGAGTGCGATCTTCTGATGTGTAGTTCGAGTGCGATCTTCTGATGTGTAGTTCGAGTGCGATCTTCTGATGTGTAGTTCGAGTGCGATCTTCTGATGTGTAGTTCGAGTGCGATCTTCTGATGTGTAGTTCGAGTGCGATCTTCTGATGTGTAGTTCGAGTGCGATCTTCTGATGTGTAGTTCGAGTGCGATCTTCTGATGTGTAGTTCGAGTGCGATCTTCTGATGTGTAGTTCGAGTGCGATCTTCTGATGTGTAGTTCGAGTGCGATCTTCTGATGTGTAGTTCGAGTGCGATCTTCTGATGTGTAGTTCGAGTGCGATCTTCTGATGTGTAGTTCGAGTGCGAGTGCGATCTTCTGATGTGTAGTTCGAGTGCGATCTTCTGATGTGTAGTTGATCTTCTGATGTGTAGTTCGAGTGCGATCTTCTGATGTGTTCGAGTGCGATCTTCTGATGTGTAGTTCGAGTGCGATCTTCTGATGTGTAGTTCGAGTGCGATCTTCTGATGTGTAGTTCGAGTGCGATCTTCTGATGTGTAGTTCGAGTGCGATCTTCTGATGTGTAGTTCGAGTGCGATCTTCTGATGTGTAGTTCGAGTGCGATCTTCTGATGTGTAGTTCGAGTGCGATCTTCTGATGTAGCGATCTTCTGATGTGTAGTTCGAGTGCGATCTTCTGATGTGTAGTTCGAGTGCGATCTTCTGATGTGTAGTTCGAGTGCGATCTTCTGATGTGTAGTTCGAGTGCGATCTTCTGATGTGTAGTTCGAGTGCGATCTTCTGATGTGTAGTTCGAGTGCGATCTTCTGATGTGTAGTTCGAGTGCGATCTTCTGATGTGTAGTTCGAGTGCGATCTTCTGATGTGTAGTTCGAGTGCGATCTTCTGATGTGTAGTTCGAGTGCGATCTTCTGATGTGTAGTTCGAGTGCGATCTTCTGATGTGTAGTTCGAGTGCGATCTTCTGATGTGTAGTTCGAGTGCGATCTTCTGATGTGTAGTTCGAGTGCGATCTTCTGATGTGTAGTTCGAGTGCGATCTTCTGATGTGTAGTTCGAGTGCGATCTTCTGATGTGTAGTTCGAGTGCGATCTTCTGATGTGTAGTTCGAGTGCGATCTTCTGATGTGTAGTTCGAGTGCGATCTTCTGATGTGTAGTTCGAGTGCGATCTTCTGATGTGTAGTTCGAGTGCGATCTTCTGATGTGTAGTTCGAGTGCGATCTTCTGATGTGTAGTTCGAGTGCGATCTTCTGATGTGTAGTTCGAGTGCGATCTTCTGATGTGTAGTTCGAGTGCGATCTTCTGATGTGTAGTTCGAGTGCGATCTTCTGATGTGTAGTTCGAGTGCGATCTTCTGATGTGTAGTTCGAGTGCGATCTTCTGATGTGTAGTTCGAGTGCGATCTTCTGATGTGTAGTTCGAGTGCGATCTTCTGATGTGTAGTTCGAGTGCGATCTTCTGATGTGTAGTTCGAGTGCGATCTTCTGATGTGTAGTTCGAGTGCGATCTTCTGATGTGTAGTTCGAGTGCGATCTTCTGATGTGTAGTTCGAGTGCGATCTTCTGATGTGTAGTTCGAGTGCGATCTTCTGATGTGTAGTTCGAGTGCGATCTTCTGATGTGTAGTTCGAGTGCGATCTTCTGATGTGTAGTTCGAGTGCGATCTTCTGATGTGTAGTTCGAGTGCGATCTTCTGATGTGTAGTTCGAGTGCGATCTTCTGATGTGTAGTTCGAGTGCGATCTTCTGATGTGTAGTTCGAGTGCGATCTTCTGATGTGTAGTTCGAGTGCGATCTTCTGATGTGTAGTTCGAGTGCGATCTTCTGATGTGTAGTTCGAGTGCGATCTTCTGATGTGTAGTTCGAGTGCGATCTTCTGATGTGTAGTTCGAGTGCGATCTTCTGATGTGTAGTTCGAGTGCGATCTTCTGATGTGTAGTTCGAGTGCGATCTTCTGATGTGTAGTTCGAGTGCGATCTTCTGATGTGTAGTTCGAGTGCGATCTTCTGATGTGTAGTTCGAGTGCGATCTTCTGATGTGTAGTTCGAGTGCGATCTTCTGATGTGTAGTTCGAGTGCGATCTTCTGATGTGTAGTTCGAGTGCGATCTTCTGATGTGTAGTTCGAGTGCGATCTTCTGATGTGTAGTTCGAGTGCGATCTTCTGATGTGTAGTTCGAGTGCGATCTTCTGATGTGTAGTTCGAGTGCGATCTTCTGATGTGTAGTTCGAGTGCGATCTTCTGATGTGTAGTTCGAGTGCGATCTTCTGATGTGTAGTTCGAGTGCGATCTTCTGATGTGTAGTTCGAGTGCGATCTTCTGATGTGTAGTTCGAGTGCGATCTTCTGATGTGTAGTTCGAGTGCGATCTTCTGATGTGTAGTTCGAGTGCGATCTTCTGATGTGTAGTTCGAGTGCGATCTTCTGATGTGTAGTTCGAGTGCGATCTTCTGATGTGTAGTTCGAGTGCGATCTTCTGATGTGTAGTTCGAGTGCGATCTTCTGATGTGTAGTTCGAGTGCGATCTTCTGATGTGTAGTTCGAGTGCGATCTTCTGATGTGTAGTTCGAGTGCGATCTTCTGATGTGTAGTTCGAGTGCGATCTTCTGATGTGTAGTTCGAGTGCGATCTTCTGATGTGTAGTTCGAGTGCGATCTTCTGATGTGTAGTTCGAGTGCGATCTTCTGATGTGTAGTTCGAGTGCGATCTTCTGATGTGTAGTTCGAGTGCGATCTTCTGATGTGTAGTTCGAGTGCGATCTTCTGATGTGTAGTTCGAGTGCGATCTTCTGATGTGTAGTTCGAGTGCGATCTTCTGATGTGTAGTTCGAGTGCGATCTTCTGATGTGTAGTTCGAGTGCGATCTTCTGATGTGTAGTTCGAGTGCGATCTTCTGATGTGTAGTTCGAGTGCGATCTTCTGATGTGTAGTTCGAGTGCGATCTTCTGATGTGTAGTTCGAGTGCGATCTTCTGATGTGTAGTTCGAGTGCGATCTTCTGATGTGTAGTTCGAGTGCGATCTTCTGATGTGTAGTTCGAGTGCGATCTTCTGATGTGTAGTTCGAGTGCGATCTTCTGATGTGTAGTTCGAGTGCGATCTTCTGATGTGTAGTTCGAGTGCGATCTTCTGATGTGTAGTTCGAGTGCGATCTTCTGATGTGTAGTTCGAGTGCGATCTTCTGATGTGTAGTTCGAGTGCGATCTTCTGATGTGTAGTTCGAGTGCGATCTTCTGATGTGTAGTTCGAGTGCGATCTTCTGATGTGTAGTTCGAGTGCGATCTTCTGATGTGTAGTTCGAGTGCGATCTTCTGATGTGTAGTTCGAGTGCGATCTTCTGATGTGTAGTTCGAGTGCGATCTTCTGATGTGTAGTTCGAGTGCGATCTTCTGATGTGTAGTTCGAGTGCGATCTTCTGATGTGTAGTTCGAGTGCGATCTTCTGATGTGTAGTTCGAGTGCGATCTTCTGATGTGTAGTTCGAGTGCGATCTTCTGATGTGTAGTTCGAGTGCGATCTTCTGATGTGTAGTTCGAGTGCGATCTTCTGATGTGTAGTTCGAGTGCGATCTTCTGATGTGTAGTTCGAGTGCGATCTTCTGATGTGTAGTTCGAGTGCGATCTTCTGATGTGTAGTTCGAGTGCGATCTTCTGATGTGTAGTTCGAGTGCGATCTTCTGATGTGTAGTTCGAGTGCGATCTTCTGATGTGTAGTTCGAGTGCGATCTTCTGATGTGTAGTTCGAGTGCGATCTTCTGATGTGTAGTTCGAGTGCGATCTTCTGATGTGTAGTTCGAGTGCGATCTTCTGATGTGTAGTTCGAGTGCGATCTTCTGATGTGTAGTTTGAGTGCGATCTTCTGATGTGTAGTCTGGTCATCATATCTTCAGACACGTTACTGTGACTCGTCGTCTCCTTAAGAGATAGTTTATTTTACTTTAAAAGTTGATCCTCAATCCTAAATAGATGTTCTCTAATCCCTAAAAAAAAATGTTTTCTAACTAATCGCTAAAAATGTTCCCTAATCCCTAAATGTTTTCAAATAGCTAAAAATGTTCCATAATCCCTATTAGATGTTCACTAATCCCTAACAGATGTTCACTAATCCTAATATATGTTCACTTATCCCTAACATGTGTTTACTAATGCCTAACAGATGTTCCCTAAGCTCTACCAGACGCTCCCTAATCCCTAATAATCGTTCCCTAATCCAAAACAGATGCTTCCTGAACTCTGAGCGGAAACTGAAGGTGTACACAGGGGTGTACTCCCACGAGGCTTGTGTTATGGAGCACCGTACAACCATGCTGTTGGAGGCGTGTGGCTGCAGGGAGTATTATATAACGGGTTAGCACTCACATGCTATAGTGGCAGGTGTCTTATAGCAGGTTAGCACTCACACGCTATAGTGGCAGGTGTCTTATAGCAGGTTAGCACTCACACGCTATAGTGGCAGGTGTCTTATAGCAGGTTAGCACTCACACGCTATAGTGGCAGGTGTCTTATAGCAGGTTAGCACTCACATGCTATAGTGGCAGGTGTCTTATATAGCAGGTTAGCATTCAAATGCTATAGTGGCAGGTGTCTTATAGCAGGTTAGCACTCAAATGCTATAGTGGCAGGTGTCTTATATAGCAGGTTAGCATTCACAGGCTATACGCAGTAGCATACAACTACTGCAAACTGTATGAATACTCAAACTATTTTATATGTAGATATAAACATTATGATATTCATAACTTATGGCTTGAGAGTAACTTTTTAACATAAATAACATATTCAGATTCAAGTGCATCGGTCAATGTGACCCAGTATTAATAATTCACATAAATGGATTATAATGTAATTAAATAACTGGGTTTTGAAGTGAAAGTGAAGGTGGATTCTCCCTCCAGCAGGTGAAGGAAAGGTGTGCCTGAGCCAGGACGAGATCGCCTGCGTCAGGAAGTTCGTAGGTAGGTCTTTGACACAAGTATCACTCTTTCTTATTTATGAGAGGCTCAACCTTCGAGTGCATTGTTGTTCTCTCCCTAACTTTCAGACCCATTATGCGCTTCCTACCCCCCCCCCCCCTAGATGCCCAGACCCCATTCGCCTACCAGGCACTCCCAGGCACCCCCTGGCACCCCCCCATTCGCCCCCCAGACACCCCCAGATCCCTGGCGAAAGGGGGAACTCTGGCACCAGAATTTCCAAAAAGAGTCTCAAGGTTTGGTACACCAATGCTGATGGGGTATCCAATAAAGCAGAAGAGATAAAAGAAAGAGTTAGTGAGGCAGACCCAGACATAGTGGCAATAGTGGAAACTAAAATAAATGGCATGATCTCGGATGCAATCTTTCCAGAGGGGTACCAGGTGATAAGAAAAGAAAGGACACAGAGACAGGGAGGAGGAGTGGCACTCCTAATAAAGCGGAAATAGAAGTTTGATGAGCTGGAAAATCCGGGTACCAATGAAAGCACGAACTCCATGCATGGAACTCTGACAGTGGATGGGAAGAAGATTGTAATCTTGATACTCTACAATCCCCCCACCAAACAGTAGAAAGTCCAGGCAGGAGTATGAGGACAGCAACAAGGCATGTATAGATGAACTGCAGAGGGCAGCAACTATAGCGCATAGAATGAAGGCGAAGCTGCTGATCATGGGGGATCTAAATCATGGAGAGATAGATTGGGATACGAGGAATCCTCATGGCGGGGAGGAGACCTGGGGAGTGAAGCTGGTAGACGTTATTGACAGGAATTTCCTCACACAGCATGTGAAGAAAGACACTAAGGAAAGAGGAGGGGATACGCCCAGCCTATTAGACCTCATTTTCACCCAGAATGTAGAAGACATCGATCATTTGTGTGAGATTTGTTTTCTACGCCTACCTCCCTTAGGAGGTGGACTACAAGTTTAAAGTCTGCTCACGGCAGTTAAGCATGAGTCCAATAGAAAAAGGAAAAGCGGGAGCAAACCGCCAGGCCTCCACCACTAGGGGTGAAAACCTGTCCACAATAGGCCGCTGGCTCCTCCTAGTTAAACAGGACGTTAAAACTAATAAAGGGTAACCGACGGGTTCTCACAATCAAATATATATATTTGATGTGGCGCTATGAATTGGAATTCGAATTCCCAAGAACAGCCGTCATATCAAGATCACATGAACATTCAATCGTAACAAGCAGAACATGGGTGGAAAAGAATGGTTGAAGGGTTGACATCAAAGACCGTTTTCTATAACATAACAATTTATTAATAACAAGAGACTAACTACTACATTACCGAGATTACGTTACGTTAATGTCCATCCAGTGGCACGATAACAAACAGCTAAATAGCAACCCTTGCTGTGCGGCTGCATACTGAACTAACCTGAACACAGGTGTGCCCACTGATGACGCAATATTGCAAATCAAAAAAAATATCACAGACTAAGTTACACCACAGCAAATGGTTACGTTATTGTCCATCCAGTGGCAATTGCAACACAGCTATTCAACAGCCCCTCGAGAAATGACAGCAGGCTCCATTCTGCTGACACTTCGGCTGACAAGTGAACTAACCGACAATGATGCCCACTGAAGACACAAGCATGCAATCAATAGTGTCACGGCTTCCCTGACAGCTACTCTAATCACAAGCTTAAGGGTCCTCCTTCCAAACAGAAGTGACCCCCGTAACTAGGCGGGTAGTCCAACAGTGACTCCCCCTATCACAACCCAGTGTGAACACTCTTTGCAACTCCCTACAAGAAGTTGCACTGTAAACAGTAAACAAAGTCAGGCAAGGCGGGATTCTAGGACACAGCTCCAGTAATCCCTAAGTTACTCTACTCTCGTCACCTGACAATAAACAACAGAAATTGTCTTAATCAATTACCACTGATTATGTGATTAATTACGTTAATTGACTGATCGCAGCAGTCAGCAACAAAGTACTACGTTAATCACAACCAATTGTCTGTCATAGACAACAACATGATGGTACTCTACGTTAATCATTAACACTTGTCTCTCTTAACACATGTCATCTTGTTAACAATAACTCAAAACTCTCTTATATTACATCACACTTGACTCCTTGCAAGTATTCAGTGAGTAATTCTTAATTAAGGTCAAACGGACCACTAATTACATCCCCATTGAGTTACGTTAACTAAGCCTACCCTAACTTGGTAGCTTCTCAACAGTCTGTGTCTAAAAATTACTATAATGAGTGTTAATTACCCTAATTAACTCCGAGCAATTAATTGACTGTCACCAGGACCGATAATTAATCATACATAAATACGTCTCACTCCGCACTGCCTAAGCAGGTCTCATCAAACACTGTGAATTCAAGGGAAAGGAGTTAATTACCCTAATTAACATGAGTGCAATTAATCCACTGTCCTCAGACAGGATATGATTAATATAACGAATTATGCTAGCGCCATGACCTCGCTTTACCGAGTCATCTGAGTCCTCAAGACTCCAGACGTTAATTACTCCACTAATTATCATGAGCCACTAATTGCTATACCCCCGAAAGGTAATTAATCCCGAGCAAATTCCGTTAACACAAATACTGACAGACTCTGACAGATCCTCTCCCACTAAGTGAATTCATGATGAGAAGGCTAATTACATAATTAGCTAGAGTGGTCAATTAGTTGTCACACGGACACACACACACACACACACACACACACACACACACACACACACACACACACACACACACACACACACACATACACATACACACACACACACACACACACACACGATACAGCACCGCACATGAGACTGCTATTCAAACTTGAGAGGCAGACAGGATTAAGTGGAAAGGCCCTAGCATGGGTGAAGAACTACCTAACAGGAAGAAACCAGAGAGTAATGGTAAGGGGCGAGAAGTCGCACTGGCGAACAGTAACGAGTTGGGTACCTCAAGGATCGGTGCTGGGGCCAATTCTATTTCTAATTTACCCTTATGTTTACAGGAGTGGAATCCTACATGTCAATGTTCGCGGATGACGCAAAACTAATGAGAAGAGTTGTGACAGATGAGAATTGTAGGCTCCTCCAGGAGGACCTGGACAGGTTACAGAAATGGCCAGAGAAATTCAACACGAGTAAATGTAAAGTTATGGAAATTGGATCAGGTGAGAGGAGACCAAAGGGACAGTACACAATGAAGGGGAACTGCCTACCTGTAACGATTCGAGAATGTGACCTGGGAGTGGACGTAACACCTATTCTAACTCCTGAGGCACACATAAATAGGATAACGACAGCAGCGTACTCTACACTGGCAAAAATTAGAACATCATTCAGAAATCTAAGTGAGGAGGCTTTTAGGGCGCTTTACACTGCCTACGTGAGACCAGTCTTTGGGTATACCGTGCCATCATGGAGTCCCCACCTGAAGAAACACATAAGGAAACTGGAAAAGGTTCCAAAGTCAGCGACGAGTCGTGTCGCAGAGTTACTAGGGATGGGATATGAAGAACGCCTGAACGAACTGAACCTTATAACACTAGAAAAAAGAAGGGAGAAGGGGAATAAGATGGGAACGTATAAAATACTCGGAATTGACAAAGTGTAAATAGATGAAAAGTTCACACGTAATAGTAACAGAACGAGGGGATATGGGTGGAAACTGGGAACTGAGATGAGTCACAGAAATGTTAGGGAGTATTCTTTTAGCGTGAAAGTAATGGAAAAATGGAATGCACTTAAGGAGCAGGTTGTGGAAGTTACCCTCTATTCATATTTTTAAAACTAGATATGATAGGGAAATAGGACAGGAGTCATTGCTGTAAACAACTGATGGCTAGAAAGGCGGGATCCAAGAGTCACTGCTCTATCCTGCAAGCACAAATAGGTGAGGTGAGTACGCACACACACCGATGAACTTGGGTGTAGGGAGCAGAAGGCCAGATACAAGGTATCATTTGGGAGACGAAATACTTCAAGAGTCAAAGAGAGAGAGAAAGACCTGGGGGTTGATATCACGCCAGACCTGTCCCCTGCAGACCATATCAAGAGGATAACATCAGCGGCATATGCCAGGTTGGCCAACATAAGAACGGCCTTTAGAAACTTGTGCAAGGAATCATTCAGAACTTTGTATACCACATATGTCAGGCCAATCCTGGAGTATGCGGCTCCAGCATGGAGTTCATATCTAGTCAAGCATAAGACTAAAGTGGAAAAGGTTCAAAGATTTGCCACCAGACTAGTACCCGAACTGAGGGTGTATAAGCTACGAGGAGAGACTACGGGAATTAAACTTCACATCACTGGCAGACAGATGAGTTAGGGGAGGACATGATCACCACGTACAAGATTCTTATAGGAATTAATAGGGTAGATAAAGACAGACTATTTAACACCAGGGGCACATGCACTAGGGGACACAGGTGGAAATTGAGAGCCCAAATGAGCCATAGAGATTTTAGAAATAATTTTTTAAGTGTCAGAGTAATATACAAATGGAATGGATTTGGAAGTGATGTGTGTTACCAATCGTTCGTTACGGCTCGAAACCCTAACAACAGCAAGACCTTAAATGTCAAGGCCTACTACAAACTGCTGTTCTCTAGAGCGGGTCACCAGTGTAACCCCTTAATTGGCACAGGTTGATTTAAATATTTCTCCCTTACGACTGAAGATATATACATATAAATTTTATATTATTAAATATGACCGAAAAAGTAAGATTAATAATTCTAACACGAATTTTCTCAATCTTTCGTACATTTCTTTTCACTGTTGGTGGTAATTCAAAAATCAATTCTCCAAAATTCATTTTTATTTCTAGTCTGACGCGACACTTGAGCGCGTTTCGTAAAACTTATTACATTTTCAAAGACTTTAGTTAACACATACACAGCTGAATAGAACTTACACATCTCCGATTTGTTTATATCAACTTTTGAGTGAGGTGGATGGGGTGAGGTGGTATTTAATAAGGTATTAATTT